TTACACATAAAAAAATCATACATATAAACATATACTTAATTATACAGTGTCCGATTATAGTAATCTGATTGAGCTTAAGCGCTTTCCAATAGATTAAAGTAATGTTCCCGCGCCAAAGTCTTAAACGCAGTCTTGTTTGGAGCGTTTCGCACGTGTAGAGGAAGTGCATTCCAGAGCCGAATGGCAGTAACAGTAAATGAACTGGAGACAAAGCTGGTATGGTGAATAGGTACACTAAGAATCACATTATTATTAGAACGAAGATTTAATTGATGAGAAGACCACAGGAACTGAAAACGAGATTTTAGATATCCAGGAGTACGTGGATCATAAAGTATGTTGTAAAGAGTGCAAACTATCTTTAAGTGTCTACGCTCCCGAATAGGCATCCACTTAAGTTTACTGAGGAATTCAGAAATGTGGTCGTATTTTCGCAAACCGAACACGAAGCGAATAGTGTTGAGGAGTCGATCCAATTTAGTTATAAATATTTGATTTATGTCAGTAAAACAAACATCGGCATAATCAAGGGAATCAAGGGAACGAACAAGGGATTGAATGAGTGAGATCTTAGTACACGGTGGGAGAAAATTCTTCAAGCGGTAAAGTGAACCTAGTGTACCATTCACCTTGCAGCTTATATTTTCAATTTGGCCATCCCAGCTAAGAGTGTTATCAAGTACAAGCCCAAGATCTTTTACCTTCGCAGAATAAGGTATCACTAAACCATTGAATGTCACTACTGGTACTGTGTTTAAATGCAGCTGGGAAATCTGCCATGAACCGCCAATAATGATAGCCTGACATTTGACTGGGTTTATGCCAATCCCGAAGCTATTACACCACTCGAGTACCCTAGCTAGGTTTTGATTGATCAGACAGACTGCTCTCCCCAGGGCAGATAGGGTATATATGCCTCTTAACGTAAAAAATATGACTACTGAGGGGCAATAATCTGATATGGAATTAATAAGTCTGTAGCAGAAATTCATATACGAAATTTGAGATTAACAAAGACAATGTCATAAATTTCATCATATTCAGAAAAGGAGTGTCCGAACGGTGAAGTACACAAGTCCTGCGCATTCCACGAGGAGTATTCTTGCTGGGTGGACCAATCCAAGTCTAGGAGAGTCAAGACTCCAGCCAAGAGGCTGATCCACTGCAGATCTGGATGCTTTTGCAAGTAATAGGAGTATTTCTAAGTTTATTGGTTGACATTTTTTTGATATCTAAAGATAATTTTAATAGAAAAAAAACCATGGGGAGCAGGCAGCAGATGGGACTCGAACCTGCACCCTCCGCTATCCGGGCGGATGCACTGACCATTATGCTACCGCGGCCCTGATGGTCATGTCATTTTTTTTCTAATATTTCTGGGATAGCGGAGGGTGCGTGTTCGAGTCCCTTGTGCTACCTGGTCCTCTTAGAACTTTGTCTATAAAAATATTCTTTGGATTTAAAAATAAAAAGTTGTTATTGTTTTATACATAAAAAAATCGGGGAAAAACTTGTAACTTTAAATATTATTCTGGGTTATAAAATAAATTCTAAAGTTTGTTACAGCGTGAATAATGCACACCCATAATCTCTATTTTATGTAAGTTCGTTGTGCTAAAGTAATACTTGGATCATTTCCATTTTCTCTGCGTAATCATCAATTTGTAATAGTTGTATCGAACGCTCCTTTTCAAAGTTAGCGAAAAACTCTTTCAGAGAAAAAGCAAATCATCTTATCTTCGAGTATTTAGGCCTTCTCATCTGCAAATTGTATTGAAGGCCGGCACACTTCAATTTTCCCTGTCTAATTCCAGGAAAGGTTCGGTCCGAGCTTATCCCAAGGGGCCGTGCGTCGCGGCACACCAGTGCAGAAACGAAAAGCTTCAAGACATCCTGGAGAAACTACCTTCGGAATTCCATGTTTACTAAATATTGCTCCATCAACTGTTTAATTGTTATAATTTTAAAGAAAATATAACTAGAAAAAATTCCACGCGGACCAGGCAGCAGACGGGACTCGAACCCGCACCCTTCGCAATCCGGGCGAATGCACTGACCAATTATGCTACCGCGGCCCTCACGGACCGCGTCGAAATTCCTTCTAGCTATTCTTAAGCTGCAAGGCAGCGCCATCTCTTCGCATTATAGGTAAACCCACAATGTCAGATGAATACTTTTACAAGTATTAAACATTTGAAAGAAGAAATAGCAATTATAGTTATAATTTTTATTATTTTTAAAGCATGTAACTGCTTGATGTTTAAATCTAAAGAAAATATAACTAGAAAAAATTCCACGCGGACCAGGCAGCAGACGGGACTCGAACCCGCACCCTTCGCAATCCGGGCGAATGCACTGACCAATTATGCTACCGCGGCCCTCACGGACCGCGTCGAAATTCCTTCTAGCTATTCTTAAGCTGCAAGGCAGCGCCATCTCTTCGCATTATAGGTAAACCCACAATGTCAGATGAATACTTTTACAAGTATTAAACATTTGAAAGAAGAAATAGCAATTATAGTTATAATTTTTATTATTTTTAAAGCATGTAACTGCTTGATGTTTAAATCTAAAGAAAATATAACTAGAAAAAATTCCACGCGGACCAGGCAGCAGATTGTGGGTTGCCTATAATGCGAAGAGATGGCGCTGCCTTGCAGCTTAAGAATGGCTAGAGGAATTTCGACACGGTCCGTGAGGGCCGCGGTAGCATAATTGGTCAGTGCATTCGCCCGGATTGCGAAGTCCCGTCTGCTGCCTGGTCCGCGTGGTTTTTAATGCGTATTCGATGAACCTAAGACAGTGAGTGCATAGCAGATTCGCCGCCTGGAAATTGAGCGATTTGGAGCTGTGAGACATTTGAGAAATAGGTATTTGAAAAAACTATTGCTGTCACGCATTGGCGAATACCGTGTGTTATATGGCAAGTAACGAACCTAATTTAAAAACAAAGTATTTATTAGAAACTACAAGAATTATGTCTTATATCAATGTGGTTCTGATTATAACTCTTTCTAAAAGGATTCAATGTACATAATGAGTCAGTCCTGAGAAAGCAAAACAAAACTATTACTTAATGACTTTACAAAGGTTTAAAGAACTCTGGAATTTTTAGATGATACGATACAATGCAAATGAGGTAATTAGTGTAAAGGATTGAATGATTTTAGTAAATTATAGAGATATTAACTTAAGGACCTGAGAACGATAAATAACATAGTTTTAAGATAATTAAAGAACATAACAAATGAGTTTGTAAACAAAAGGTATGGCATTAACATAACAGGGGTATAACATAATCCATGCGACAACAGTAGTTACCGCTGAAAATTGCGTATAACAAATTGCTAAATTCAAAGTTTGGCTCTGGAAGATTTCCTTCTCGAAAATTAGATAGGGAAAACTACCCAATCATTGACACTCTTCCTATTATTTGCACTTTTGAGTTTACTTCGAAAAAACCAGGAAACAATAGATTATAGGAATAATGCTGCCAATTTTCAAATTTCAAAACCATACTAGGTTTTTCTTTTTCATATGTAACGACCTTGAATAATCTATTGTCTCCTTGTTTTTTTCGAATTAAACTCAAAAGTGCCAATAATAGGACGAGTGCCAATGATTGGGTGGTTTCCCCTATATGTAAAACAAATTTTACCCATAGAATAATAAGTAGTTATACTATGCCTCTGACGGATTATACTATGGCTCTCCTATGAGGAGCGCGATGGCGCAAGTGGTTAGCGCGTTCGGCTGCGATCTTTGAAGATAAACAACTTTCTCAGTGGTCGTTCATTGGATGGGTGACCAAAAATGTACTATCTGGAGCTCCTCCGTGCTTCGGGAGGCACGTTAAGCCGTTGGTCCCGGCTGCATCTGCAGTCGTCAGTACCCACAAATCCGCACTGGGCCCGCGTGGTGGGTCATGGCCCAATCTCTCTATTCCATCCATAGGGAAAGCCTGTGTCCCAGCAGTAGGGAGATTAATAGGTTGATGATGATGTTTTGCTTTTTTGTAAATGCTTATTAAATCTACACACTAGACGCCTTTAGCGTTGATAGCATTTTGTTTCTTTTTTGCATTTTTGAGGGCTTCTAGTTTCTTTGAAACACTAGTTAAATGAAAAAAGGAAGACATAGGAGCATAGAATGAGTAGAATTATATTTTGTGTATGAAAATCGATTCTTTAGAGATAAAAATCAAGGAGTAATCAGTCAAGAACGTTTGTATGAAAGAATCGCCTCCCCTCTTTAAGCGCCCCCCTTGGAAAGTGAGCTTAAGAAGCTTCATCATCATCATCAACAGCCCATCTTATTCCACTGCGGGACATAAGCCAAATGCACGCCACTCAGATCGATCTTGGGCTACTCGCATCCTGCTTCTGCCAGCCACCTTGCGCAAATCGTCACTCCATCGTGCCTGAGGACGTCTTACACTACGTTTGCCTAGACGCGGTCTCCCCTCCAGAACTCGTCTACCCCAACGGTTACTGGTTCTTCGGCAAATATGGCCAGCCCACTGCCACTTCAGCTTCTTAACCGGATTAAGAAGCTTAATAAGAGATTTATTAAAGAAATCGATATAATGACTGTTGCTTCTCAGTACATTTATGATAATGTATGTTCCGAAAATTTTACATTATTTCCTCTAAATAGTGATAAGCACTTACACATCACCATCCTATTAATGTCCCCACTGCTGGGGCACAGACCTTTCTTATGGATGGAATAGGGAGATTGGGCTATGACCCACCACGTGGGCCCAGTGCGGCTTGGCGGGTGCTAACACCTGCAGATGCAGCCGGGACCAACGGCTTAACGTGCCTTCCGAAGCACGGAGGAGCTCGACTAGTAAATTTTTTGGTCACCCATCCAATGACCGACCACTGCGAAAGTTAACTTAACTTCAACGATCGCAGCCGAAGGCGCTAACCACTTGCGCCACACAAACCACAAAAGCTTATTTACCTTAAAAATAAAAAAATGAAACTAACCCTTACCTTTAGCGATGTATATGCCACCAGACAGGGCCAGCACCCAACCGACTGCGAGCAATATTATCACTTTATTATTAGACATTATCACAACAATATTTGGCAACAACCGCTCTGTTTGGCAACTCAACTTAATCTGGTGAACGTGATAGACTTACTCAGGGTTCGAATATGGCCTTACAACAGTTGAATGCGTTCGTTGAAAAAATTCGTGCCATCCTTGAATGCATTGGCGTGCGCAACGCGTGACCATTACGCAATTTAGATCTTAATGTCATATAGTTTTAGAACGCATTATCGTTTGTGTTTCTGTGGTTTTGTTATAGATTTTCGTGTTTGTATATTTACTTTCGGGTTGCGTAATTTAGATACTTGAACACAATAGGCTTTATGTCATTATTTGTAGTGCAATTTATCGAACAGCATGAAGTGTGATCAATCATTAACTCGATTAATGAGATCGTAATTTTTACGTTATTTTATTTAACTGCTTTATAACAAAAAAAACACTCTAGTTCTTCACAACTAAAAAAACGACGGGTTGCACTCCGGGAGTGCCGGCAGAAGTGAAAACTTGAATATTAACGTTGTGCATTTTTGATATTTTGGAATGGTTAGGGAATAATTATCATGTATGTGGTAGAATACAATATTTATTTGTTGCGCTATCGTGCAAACATGACATTTTATATTACATTAAAAAGTTTATCTCTCAGAATTACTCATTTAAGCGCACCTAGCGACATCTATTGTAAAAAAATGCATTTTCTTTGCAATAAAGCTGCCACCTGGACGTCCTAGATACATTATTATAATACGATAAAATAAAATATTATTATGATTCGCCCAATATACAGTAAATATATTGGACGAATAAAGTCAACAACCTTTCCAATTTTATTGTGTGTCATGATGCGATCAGCCCACGTGTTGAACCTGACGCGAGTTTAAAATTTATTACCCATACAAAAAAAAATGTACAACGCCGCTAAAGAAGTTTTCATTTCAAAAATCCCTTATCTGGTGGTAGGGGAAAAAATAATCGATTCAAAATAGTTGTATTATGCCTCAAATTTGAATGAAGCATTTTAGAATTTTGTTTTTTTTTTAATATTACAACACAACAGTTGGTCATGCGTCCAATACAAAGTTAAGAAAAAAGTCATACAACATTTTCCTTAACATGGTTAAAAAACAGTGTCACATTTATATTTTTATTTTTTAAGCATTTATCTGCTAACCTCGCTGACCAGGCAGCAGACAGGCAGGGACTCGAACCCACACCCTTCGCTATCCGGGATAAAACCACAACAAAGAAATAATGCCGAAATTAATTTTGAGCGCGGCGACCGAATCAAGAAATTCCGTAACGGAAATAACCTGACAAGAGTGCATATGAACACAATTTTCGAATTTCCAGTATCCATCTAAACGGCGCAGTGTTAAACTTTTGCCACAGGACTAAAGTTCGATGCATCACCGCGGTCGTCGGTTCAAATCCCGCACTCGAATTTCTTATTTTTGGAACGAGGTTCCTTACGGCAGGCTTGGAGGGGATAGGGATTTTGCTGCGCGACCGAACTGAAAAAAAAAAGAAATGATGTGGTGTCGTGGGACACCAGGTAGGAACGAAGTTCCTTCGGCTAATGTAGAATCGACACAAATTGCAAACTCGCTTGTGTATGCGACTGTCGCGCCTGCGTACGTCTCATTTAACAGTTTTATTCCACGCACTTTTTTCCACGGATTTTTTCTTACGGTTTTACTATCACATTTTTTTTAGTTCGGTCGCGCAGCAAAATCCCTGTCCCCTCCAAGCCTGCCGTAAGGAACTTCGTTCCAAAAATGTGATAGTAAAACCGTAAGAAAAAATCCGTGGAAAAAAGCGCGTGGAATAAAACCGTTAAATGAGACGTACGCAGGCGCGACAGTCGCATACACAAGCGAGTTTGCAATTTGTGTCGATTCTACATTAGCCGAAGGAACTTCGTTCCTACCTGGTGTCCCACGACACCACATCATTTCTTTTTTTATATATTTGTTTTAGACCCCAGCACCTGTTCTTATTTTGATTTGTCTCCCTTTTATTTAGACTTTATAATTGTAATTAAAATTTTTGGACTAAAGATGGTAAACTGTGGAGCTTGTGGAAGTTATTTGGCGCCGGGCAATGCTGTTGTTTGCTGTGCTTGCCCAATAAAATATCATAAGGCCTGCCTCGCCTTACTCTTAATATCAAAGAAAAAAAAAACTTAATAAATAATCATAATTGCATAAGTTGATAAATAATACTATGTAATAGCTTTACCGCGGCAGTCCCCGAGTGCCACACGTTTTTTATTTGTATCTGTGCAAGACCATACTTCAGAATTGTAAAGTTAGCCCTGGTTTAAGAGGTTAGCCCAAGGCTCAACGAAGAGAGCAAGGGGCCCTTAAGATAATTATGCTATTAAAAAAATACTAATTTCAAACAATTGACTGTCGTGTCATTTGTGTTTTCGCCGGTCGGAATGGAAGATGCTTCCGAGTTACCCTTAAAACAAACGAAAAGCTTTAAACTAGCACACATTCGCGGGGGAAAGCAAGATTTGACCCCTGCGAATACAGTCGAAATTGGAATGGCTGGATTTAGTGTAATCCTAATGGGAACTACAGAGACTAACATAGGAAAAGCTCGTGTAGTGTGATTGCTTTAAGGTCTTGTTTTGAGTGAAGATTGGGGGTGCATTTTGGTTGAAGCTTTCTGAACTGGAAAGGAGATTGCAATGTCAGTGAACCAGGTCAGGGAGCCTGGATCGAGACAGATGGACTGGATTGAATCCGTGTCGGAGTCACTCGGCTGTATGTCTTGTGTTTTAATCCCTTAATAGTGAACCGTAATTCGGATCTTAGTTCCCTCTAAACTTGGATTGGATTAATTTCAGAGCCAATTTTAAAGTTTGTTCTACGCTAAATATATGTTACAGTATTAACTAGAAAATCAATTACCAGGACATTACAATTAATCAGTAAGATAATTTTTTCAGTTTATATTACATATAAAGGAATATGGCGGGAATCGAATCTGTTATCTATTAGACAAGTCCGTCCGTCCGTCCGTCTGTGGTGCTGTTTCAGCGGCCAAACCGTAAGAGATAGATAAAGAGAATGTTTAAGTTATAAGTTAAGAATAGTCTGATAAGACTACAAACCGGATTTGAGTAACGTAGCACTTCCGGTTTTCGAGAAATCACGAATTTCAAACGAAACCACACAAAATCTCCGAAGTTCTCAATTAATTAAATACATTTTTTTTTTAATCAGGTTTTGATGAACATTTGGTTCACTGGATTGCTAGTTCAGTAATAATATTATAAGTATATTCGAATTGATAATATTAATTAAAATCGAGAAACAGAAGTATTTTTGATCTACGATCACTTTCTTTTATTTATTTTTTTGAGTGTGTATGCTGTTGGTCGCAGGTGACCTTTACAGCGTCACCGGGTTTGGGGACGACGTGATCCTAAGAGGACCTCAAGCTGTGAATTGGCGAGTGTCTCTAGAGGTATTCCAGGCGGATGGCATCTCCCCACGGGGGGAGTCTCCTCTCCGTTTGAAGCCTCTAGATCACTCAATCCTCGGGGGTCGGGGGAGGGGGTCGTCTCAACTAGAGGGCATTTCTGGGACTCGGACCTCGGGTTAAACGCCCAGGCATGTACATGTACCTGATATAGCTTGTCGTGTGTAGCCCAGGGGGTCATTCGCCTAACAGAAATGCTTTGGTTAACGCTAACGCTTACGATTTCATTTTATTATTTCTAGCCGCCTGAGGTTTTCAAATGCCTCCCGCTCTTCTTTTTTCTTTTGCATTGGTAATAATAATATTAAAAAAATCTTAGCGTGAGGTATTTGAAAACCTTCGGCGGTCAGAAATAACAAAATAAAATCGAAAGCGTTAGCGTTTTTCCAAAGCATTTTCTTTAGGCGAATGGCCCCCGGGTCTTCGCGCTGTTTCTATGATCACGTTGAGCCTTAAATAACGTCACCTGCTTGAAACATGTTGTTGAAGTGACATTACCTTGTACTGTTTGACGTTTTAATGAGAGACGTGTGTTGTGAAACGTATGCGCGGCATATTTGAAAACGGTTTTTTGAACTGATATATTCGCAACACAATTATAAATATTCACCTTTTGTGGAGTCACAATACATTTATAAATAACTTAGAACGTTATGAGAAACATGTCAAATTTATTTCCATATTTAACAATACCCTTTATTAATAAATTATTCTCTCAGAGTAAGAAGCTTACGGTCCATACATTAAGTAAGAAAGTACACGATGACAGCTCGCTTCTGTAAGGCGTTTACAGTTTTAGTAAATGTATACAAAATTTTGGTACCAACTTGAGCGGATGCGAATAGTGATGGGGAAGTAAAGTTTTCGGCATTCGGTATTGATTTTATTAATTGACTAAGGGGTACCTGCGACTTTTTCCGAGTAAAGATTGTTTTTTGAGAACCCCAAAGGATACTTTAATTTTTCCGGGATAAAAAGTGTCCTGTGTCTTAGTCTTATTAATAAACGAGGAATAAACTTAGACTGGTTACGCTGTATTTTGTTCATATCACTCAAGTACCATTTGGCATTCAATGAACAGTGATAATACATAAGTTATTAATCCAAGCTTAGTTTTCGTTTATTAATAAGGGGGTATGCGTATAAAATTTAATACAAATCACCATCAAATAAACATAAAAACATCACACTCGCATTTATAATATTAGTAGGAATTATTATTTATTACTTTAAATAAAACTCTAACTTAATTATGAGACAGAAATTAATAAATATATCATACATAAATGAAAATCTTTTAAGTTGGTATGTTTGTTATTTAAACAAGCATAAACAGCTGAACCGATTTGTTTGTTTGCCGTACAAACAGTTTATTTCCAGAATCCATAAGTCGTATTTTATTTCCTCATAGGTAAATTGATTCAAAAAAGACAACAAGCGCTTCGACTGATGTGCGGACTTACTACCGAGTCCTAACCAAGCGCGAGTCATTTCGGAAAACTTTCACCGAATTTGAAACATCAAAATTTTCGGCCAACACTCGACTCAATTGGGCCAA